TGTGTGTGTGTGTGTGTGTGTGTGTGTGTGTGTGTGTGTGTGGTGAGAAGGTTCATTTCTTCTGAGGCCTCTTTTCTTGGCTTATAGATAGATAGCCATCTATTCTCCGTGTCTTTTTGAGGTTTTCCCTCTGTATCTGTGACCAAATTTCCTCTTCTTTTTTTTTTTTTTATGTTTATTTTTGAGAGAGAGCATGTACAAGTGGGGGAGGGGCAAGGGCCGGGCGGGAGCTGGGGCAGGAACAGAGGATCTGAAGCAGACTCTGTACTGACAGCAGTGACCCCTATGTGGGGCTCAAACTCACAATTATGAAATCATGACCTGAGCTGAAGTCAGACGCTCAACCAACCGAGCCACCCAGGCACCCCTAAATTTTCACTTCTTTCTAAGAACATCAGTCATACAGGATTATGGCCTACCCTAAAGATCTCATTTTAACTGAATTACCTCTTTAAAGATCCTGTCCTCAAATATAGTCACATTCTGAGTCACTAGGGGTTAGCACTCAACATGTGAAATTTTGAGAAGACAAAACTCAGCCTACAACAGGGGCCTGATTCCTTGAACCTTCTTTTCTGCTATCTCATCTACCAATAGTCTGACTCCAGGTTTTATTGAAACATATGGATAAAGAGGGGCGCCTGGGTGGCTCTGTTGGCTGTGTCCAACTCTTGATTTCAGCTCAGATCATGATCTCACGGTTGGTTCATGAGTTTGAGCTCCAATCGGGCTCTGAGCTGACAGTGCAGAGCCTGCTTGGGATTCTCTCTCTCTCTCTCTCTCTCTGTCTGTCTCTCTGTCCCTCCCCTGCTCACACTCATGCATGCTTGTTCTCTCTCACAAAATAAATAAACATTAAAAAAATAAATAAATAAACATAGGGGTGCCTGGGTGGATCAGTCGGTTAAGTGACCAACTTTGGTTCAGGTCATGATCTCATGGTTGGTAAGTTCAAGCCCATGTGGGGCTCTGTCTCTCTCTCTTTCTCTCTCAAAAATAAAATTTAAAAAAGCATGAAAAAAATAAATACACAGGGGCGCCTGGGTGGCTCAGTCGGTTAAGTGTCCAACTTCGGCTCAGGTCATGATCTTACGGTTTGTGGGTTCAAACCCCACATCAGGCTCTGTGCTGACAGCTCAGAGCCTGGAACCTGTTTCAGAGTCTGTGTCTCCCCCTCTCTGCCTCTTCCCCACTCTCACTTTGTCTCACCCTGTCTCTCAAAAATAAATAAATGTAAAAAAATTTTTTTAAATAAATATATAGATAAATATATTTCTTTCAATTCTATTTATTCTAAATTTTTCCCTCTTTTAGTATATGGAGGTGAATAGAGATTAACTTTAAGTGGAGTTTATATAAATGCAATCCATTTTATGACACTGGAGAGATTTCTTAATTTGTCTTTTTTTTTTTTTTCCCCCGCAGAAAAACATAATGCCAAATCCCTGAAAACCTTAGCAGTTTTAGTATGGGTAGCATTATTGTTCTTGTCCACAGTATAACTTACTACTAATATTTAACAAGTTAGGGATTTAAAAAAATTTTTCTTTAGTGTTTATTTATTTTTAAGAGAGGGACAGAACATGAGCAGGGCAGGGGCAGAGAGAGAAGGAGACCCAGAATCTGAAGCAGGCTCCAGGCTCTGAGCTGTCAGCACAGAGCCCGACGCAGGGCTGGATCTCACAAGCTACGAAATCCTGACCTGAGCCCAAGCTGGACACTTAACCAACTGAACCATCCAGGTGTCCCTTGGGATTTTTGATAATTCACATTTGGAGTCGATTAAGGTTTATCTATGCCTAATTCATAAAGAAGGCTTTTAAACCAAATTGTCAACAAAAGATCATAGGTTTTAAACCTTCTCTAAAGAAAATATATAAGTTATTTTCAAGAATTTCAAAGTACTTTTTGAAAGCAATTCTCTACATGTACATAAGTCATTGGTAACTATAAGTATGTTTAATCTATTTATCAAAACACATATGAAAGGCTCTACAAGATATCATTTTGACTTGGTTTTTGATAGTATATGTATTAAAAAGTATTCCGTATCACTTATTGGGATTTTCTGAATTTAATAAAAATTGGTGACTGTTATTGCATGGTTTCCCAGTGTTAAAGTTATTTTAATGTTTTACTTATTTATTTATTTTTGAGAGAACACAAGCAAGGGAGAGGGAGAGAGGGGGGGACAGAGGATCCAAAGCGGGCTCTGTGCTGACAGCAGTAAGCCATATGTGGGGTTTGAGCTCACAAACACATGAGGAACCTTGAGATCGTAATGTGAGCCGAAGTCAGACGCTTAACCAACTGAGCTACCCAGGTGCCCCTAAAGTTATTTAAAAAAAAGAGTCCAGTGATTTCAACAGAATATCTTCAACATGAGTCATGTTTCTCTTTTCCAGTAACCTATTATTTAATTCCACAGGAACACAATTGTCTTGATAAGCCAGTTTATTCTCTTCACTGCATGCATTTAAATTTTTTTGTTATCATCAACTTCATTTCTTTGTGGGACATTATCATGTGTTTCTGCCCAATAATGGAGGCACAGGTGCAAGAAGGGCTATATTTAAGAAAAGCCAGATATAGAAGTGATGAATATTAAAGTATTCAGTTGGTGATTGTATTGTCTAATTTAGGCATTGTGATATTGAACTAAAACTCTTGCATAGTCAGGTACACTGCTGTAGTGATAAACAGGAGTTAAAGAACTTGTAAAAAATGTTACTAATATGGATAATAAGGCCTGGTGTCCTAAAATAAATTTAGTGTGTTTTGCCAGTATTTTTAGTTTGATTTTTCATAGAAATTTTTATTTGTGAGGGCGATATGACTGTGTTCATGCCGATAAGATGCTTTTCTTCCTTTAGCTTGGTAATAAGGCAAATAGGAGAAACCTGGTAGATACAGCTAGTTCTGGAGGGGGTGAATGGAGGCAATGTAAATTTTCCTGCTAAGGAAAAATATGTCAGAACCCATTATTATTAATTTTAAAATTGAAAATTTTATGGAGATAATTGAAGAATCATTTGCAGTTTTTTTTTTAACACTTATTTATTTTCGAGACATGAATGGGGGAGGAACAGAGACAGAGGGAGACACAGAATTGGAAGCAGGCTCCAGGCTCTGAGCCATCAGCCCAGAGCCCAACGCGGGGCTCGAACTCATGTACTGCGAGATCGTGACCTGAGCTGAAGTCGGACGCTCAACCGACTGAACCACCCAGGCGCCCCTATAATGTTACATCTAATTTGCCCTTTTCCCTCCTCTCTTACTAGTTCATAAGGATCTTATACAGCCTATTAAGAAATTTGAACAAATTAGGTTAAATCAAAAGTTAATTGACCCCTGGGGCACCTGGGTGGCTCTGTCAGTTAAGCATCTGACTTGATTTCAGCTCAGGGCATGATCTCACGGTTGGTGGGATCCAGCCCTGCGTGAGGCTCAGCACTGACAGTGAGGAGCCTGCTTGGGTTTCTCTCTCTTGCTCTCCCTCTGCCCCTCCCCCCACTCATGTGAGCTCTCTCTCTATATATTAAAATAAACATTAAAAAAAAAAGTTAACTGACCCCTGAATATTAGCAGTACCTCAATTTTCTCCATCTAGTGAACTTTCTTCACTTATCAGATAGAAGAGCAGAGGTTTAAAAAATGATACCAAGGGGCACCCGAATGACCAGTCAGTTGAGCAGCTGACTCTCAGTTTTGATCTCAGGGTCATGGGATCAAGTCCTGCATCAGGCTTCCCCCTGAATATGGATCCTGCTTAAGATTCTCTCTCTCTCTTTCTCTCTCTCCATCTGCCTCCTCCCCCACTTGCTCTCCATTCTAAAATTTAAAATTTTTTATTTTATTTTATTATTTAAAAAATTTTTAATGTTTATTTATTTTTGAGAGAGAGGGAGAGACAGACAGAGTGCAAGCAGGGGAGCGGCAGAGAGAGAGGGAGAGAGAATCCGAAGCAGGCTCCAGGCTCTGAGCTGTCAGCACAAGGTCTGACACGGGGCTCAAATGCACAAACCGCGAGATCATGACCTGAGCCAAAGTCAGATGCTCGACCAACTGAGCCACCCAGGCGCCCCTAAAATTAAAAAAAAAAATTTTTTTTAATGCTACCGAAAGATAAATAAGTCACCTGACAGCAGCCATGCACTCTGCCTCTCCAATCTCTTTTTGGTCTTTCTCAGCAGTTGGTGGCTGTCTTCTGTTGCTTCCTCTCTAGCAAGCCATCACTCTTGCTTCTCTTCATAACTTTATGATCTTTTCTTTCCTTTATTTGCTTTAAAATAATATATAGTCAATATAAGCCTCATTCTTTCTCCTGACTCTCCTATCCAACCATTTCACTGATGAGCACAGATAAGGCCGGGAAACAAGTGGTGTAAACATAGCTTTTTAGGAGAGAGGCCTCTGAACACACTCCCCTTCACAACCAACATAAAGTAACACGTCTATGGCCAAAGCATTTAGTATTTCTTTTCTGCTAGGCATCATAGAATTCATTATTGGTGTGATTTACTCTCACAACAAAATGTGAACAACTTTAATGTTGATGAGAATAAAATCGCTTATTCTAAACCCTATGTGTCATTTTAATGGTTTTTGTTGTTGTTGTGGTTGTTGTTGTTGTTTAATTATGCTGCTTCAGGAGTCCCTGGGTGGCTCAGTCGGTTAAGGGTCTGACTCTTGATTTAAAGGCTCAGGTCATGATCTCAGTGTTCATGGGATCGAGCCCCACGTGGGCTCTGTGCTGGCAGCAGCACAGAGACTGCTTGGGATCCTCTCTCTCCCTCTGTCTCTGTCTCTCAAAATAAATAAATGAACGTTTAAAAAAATTACACTGCTTCGGGGCGCCTGGGTGGCTCAGTCAGTTGAGAGTCCAACTCTTGATTTTGTGTCAGGTCATGATCTCAGGCTCATGGGATCTGTGCTGTTACTGCAGACCCTGCTTGGGATTCTTTCTCTCCCTCTCTCTCTCTGCCCCTCCCCAACTCTTGCTTTCTGTTTCAAAATAAATAAGTAAACTTAAAAAAAAAATGAGTGTAACACTGGAATATACTGTTAGGAGATTTGAGAATCTTCATTTTATTGTATAATAAGTTATAACTGAAATATCCATAATGATTTAAAGTCATGAATTTTCTAAAACCAACATTATGATTTTAAGTAACATTTTCCCTTTCTGAATAGCTAAGAAACCTTCAAAACAAGCTCTTCATAAAAGAAACTTCATTGCAAGAGATGAAGAGTGAGCTAGAAAGTTACAAACGAAATAACGTGCATCAGTCTTCCCAGATAATGTCCCTGAAAGAGGATATCAAGGACCTAGAGGAACTTATCGCTTCTCTAACCAGAATTAAATCTTTGAAAAACACCAATATTCAGAATCTTGAAAGAGGCAACTGGGATCTAACTGAAAAAATTATAGAACTGGAAAACATTCTAAGGTAGGAAATGTTCTAGTTTGTTTTCAAACATCTCATTTGTCATGTTTGCAAATAGTATATAAACTCCATATTCCTGATGGATCACAGAATTTAAAACTAGTAGAATTTCATGTAATACCTGACTCAAAATTATTATGTTTAAAAAAAGACATTTTTAAAATATTTATTTTTGAGAGGGAGAGAGAAGGAAAGAGTGAGAGAGAGAGAGACAACACAAGAGGGGGAGGGGCAGACAGAGAGTGAGACACAGAATCTGAAGCAAGCTCCAGGCTCTGAGCTCAGAGTGTGATACAGGACTTGAACTCATAAACCATGAGATCATGACCTGGTTGGACTCTTAACCAACTGAGCCACCCAGGTGCCCCTAAAAAAGACGTTTTTATAGAGATGTAATTCACATACCATTAAAATTCACCCTTTTAGTCAATTGTACTTCAATAAAAAAAGAAAAAAAATGCACCCCTTTAAAGTATGCAATTCAGTAGTTTTTTTTTCAATTTTTTAAAAATGTTTTTAATGTTTATTTATTTTTGAGAGAGAGAGAGACAGAGACAGAGCATGAGAGTGAGCAGGAGAGGTGCAGAGAGAGAGGGAGACACAGAATCTGAAACAGGCTCCAGGCTCCAAGCTGTCAGCACAGAGCCCGACATGGGGCTCGAAGTCACAGACCGTGAGATCATGACCTGAGCCGAAGTCGGCCGCTCAACTGACTGAGCCACCCAGGCGCCCCTTTAATTTTTTTTTTAATGTTTATTCATTTTTGAGAGACAGAAAGACAGAGCATGAGCAGGGAAGGGGCAGAGAGAGGGAGACACAGAATCCGAGGCAGGCTCCAGGCTCTGAGCCACCAGCACAGAGCCCGACGTGGGGCTCGAACCCATAAACTGCAAGATCATGACCTGAGCTGAAGTCGGTCGCTCAACTGACTGAGCCACCCAGGTGCCCCAGTAGTTTTTAATATATTCACAAGATTGTGCGATCATTACCACTAATTCCAGAACATTTTTAATCACCCCTCAAAGAAACCCCATGCCTATTTTCAGTTACTCCCCATTCTGACAACCACCAGTCTACATTCTTTCTCTATGGACTTGCTTTTTCTGGACATTTTCCATGAATGCAGTCATGCAATATATGGCCTGTGTCTCACTTCACTTAGCACAATGTTTTTAAGGTTAATCCATGTTGAACCATGAATCAGCATACTTCACTCTTTTTTATGGCTGAATAATATTTTATTGTATGAATATACCATAGTTTGTTTATGCATTCATCCGTTGATGGACATTGGCTTGTTTCCTTTTTTGGGGGTGACTTTATGCATAACGCTCCTGTGACCATTCTCGTGTGAGCTTTTACATGACTGTATGCTTCATTCCTGTTAGGTATATGCCTTGGGAGTAGAATGGCTGAGTCATAAAGTAACTCTGTTTACTTTAAACATTTTTTTTTTCAACGTTTATTTATTTTTGGGACAGAGAGAGACAGAGCATGAACGGGGGAGGGGCAGAGAGAGAGGGAGACACAGAATCGGAAACAGGCTCCAGGCTCCGAGCCATCAGCCCAGAGCCCGACGCGGGGCTCGAACTCACGGATCGCGAGATCGTGACCTGGCTGAAGTCGGACGCTTTACCGACTGCGCCACCCAGGCGCCCCAACTCTGTTTACTTTTGAGGCACTTCCAGACTATTTTCCAAGGCAGTTACGCGTTTTACATTCCCACCAGCAATGTTTGAGGATTCCGGTTACTCCACATCCTCACCAACATCTGTTATTGTTCGTCTTTTTTATGATAGCTGTTCTAGTGGATAGGAAGTCGTATCTTACTGTGATTTTAATTTGCATTTCTGTAAGGCTAAAGATGTTGAGCATCTTTTCATGTGCTTATTGGCCATTTGTGTATCTTCTTTATAGAAATATCTATTCAAATCCTTTGCCCAATTTTCAATTGGGTTGTCTTTTTATTTTTGAGGTGTGTTTTTTATGTGTTCTGGACACTGGACCCTTATCAGACATATGATGGGCAGGTATTTTCTCCCATCTGTGGGTTATCTTTTCACTTTTTTTTTTTTTTTCTCTAAGTAATCTCTATACTCTATGTGGGGCTTGAAATCCTAACCCCGAGATCAGGGGTCGCATGTCCCTCTGAGCCTGGCTCAGTCTTTTCATGTTCTTAATGGTGTCCTTTGGAGCACAAAGTATTTTAATTTGGATGGAAGTTTATTTTTTGTCACTTGAGACTTGGTGTCATATCTAAGAAACCATTGCCTAATCCAGGGTCACAAAGATTGACACATATATTTTCTTTTTAAGATGTATAGTCTTAACACTTAAATTTATATCTCTGAAAATTTTTGACTAATTTTTGTATATGATGTGAGTTAGGGGTTAGGAGTTCAAATTCATTCTTTTTCATGTGAAGACCCACTATTCAAGGTCTTTTGTGGTTCCATACAAACTTTACTATTATTTGCTCAAGTCCTGTGAAAAATGCCATTGGTATTTTGATAGGGATTGCATTAAATGTATAGATTGCTTTGGATAGTATAGGCATTTTAACAATATTAATTCTTCCAATCCATGAGCATGGAATATCGTCCCATTTGTGTCATCTTCAATTTCTTTTTGTCAATGTTTTACAGTGTTCAGAGTACAGATTTTTCACCTCCTTGGTTAAGTTTATTCCTGGATATTTTGTTCTTTTTGGTATAATTATAAATGGGATTATTTTCTTAATTTCTCTATCTGCTACTTTATTAGTGTATAGAAATGCAATCGACTTATGTGTATTAATTTTGTATCCTGCAACTTTACTGACTTTATTTTTTATTTCTAATAGTTTATTGTTGGAGTCTTTAAGGTTTTATATATATAGTATCATGTTATCTGCAAATAGTGACAGTTTAACTTTTTCCTTACTAATTTGGATGTCTTTTTTTCTTTCTCTTTCTTTCTTTCTTTCTTTCTTTCTTTCTTTCTTTCTTTTGTTTTCTTTCTTTCTTTCTTTCTTTCTTTCTTTCTTTCTTTCTTTCTTTCTTTCTTTCTTTTTCTTTCTTTTGTCTGATTGCTGTTGGTAGAACCTCTAGCACTATGTTGAATAAAAGTGGTGAGAATAGACATCCTTGTTTTGCTCCTGATCTTAGACGAAAAGCTCACTTTTTTTTTTTTTTTACCATTGAGTAGGATGTTAGCTGTGGTTTTTTTCTTTTTTTTTTTTAATATGGCTTTATTATGTTGAGGTGTGTTCCCTCTAAACCCACTTTATTGAGAGCTTTTATCATGAATGAATATTGGATTTTATCAGATGCTTTTCTTTCATCCATTGAGATGATCATATGATTTTAATCATTTTGTTGATGTGGTATATCACATTGATTCATGAATGTGAACCATCCTTGCACCCCCAGAATAAATCCCACTTGATCATGGTGGATGACCCTTTGAATGTATTTTTTTTTTTAATGTTTATTTATTTCTGAGACACAGAGAGACAGAGCATGAGTGGGGGAGGGGCAGAGAGAGAGGGAAACACAGAATCAGAAGCAGGCTCCAGGCTCTGAGCTGTCAGCACAGACCCCGATACGGGGCTTGAACTCACCAACCATGAGATCATGACCTAAGCGGAAGTCGGTCGCTCAACTGACTGAGCCACCCAAGCGCCCCTCAATGTATTTTTTTAATTTTACTTTTGAGAATGAGAGAGAGAGTGAGGGAGAGAGAGAGAGAATGGGTGAGGGACACAGAGGTGAAGAGAGAATCTTAAACAAGCTCCTTGCTCAGTGTGGAGCCTGAAACAGCTCTTGATCCCACAAACCCATGATCCACAATCAGGATCATGACTTGAACCGAAATCAAGAGTTGGATGCTCAACCAACAGAGCCACACAGGCGCCCCTCAATGTATTTTTGAATGCAATTTGCTCCTATTTGGGGGGAATTTTTGCATCTATGTTCATCAGGGATATTAGCCTATAGTTTTCTTTTTATGTAGTGTCTTTGTCTGATTTTGGTATCAGGACTCATATTTGGAAGCTTTCCTCCCTCTTCTGTTTTTTGGAATATTTTGAGGAGAATAGACATTAACTCTTCTTTAAATGTTTAGTAGAATTCACCTGTGAAACTATCTTGTCCTAGACTTTTGTTTATTCAGAGATTTTTAAAATTTTGTTATTACTGATTAAATTTTGTTACTAGTAATCTGTTCAGATTTTCTATTTCTTCCTGATTCAGTTTTGGAAAATTATATGTTTCTAGGAATTGATACATTTCTTCTAGGTTGTCCAATTTTTTGGCATATGATTTTTTGAGTAGTCTCCTATAATCCTTTTTATTTTTGTCATGTCTATTGTTTCTTCTCCTCTTTCATTTCTGATTTATTTGTTTGTGCCTTCTCTCTTTTTTTCTTGATGAGTCCAGTTAAAGGTTTATCAATGTTTTATTTATCTTTTCAAAGTAATAGTTCTCGGTTTCACTGATCCTTTGTTTTTTCTTTCTTTCTCTCTTTCTTTTTTGTCTCTATTTCATTTATTTCTATTTCAATATTTATTATTTCCTTCCTTCTACTAAACTTGGACTTTGTTCTTCTTTTTCTAATTCCTTTAGGTGTAATATTAGGTTGTTTATTTGAGATTTTGTGTTTGTGTGTTTCTTGAGGTGGACCTGTACTGCTGTAAATTTCTGTCTTAAAACTGCTTTCATTGTGTCCTCAAAATTTTGGACCATAGTGTTTTCATTTTCATTTGTCTCCACGTATTTTTTTATTTCCTCTTTGATTTTTTTAAATTGACCTATTGACTGTTTAGCAATGTGTTGTTTAGCCTCCGTTTGTGTTTTTTTCTAGCACATTCTTATGATTATTTTAATTTCATACCATTGTGGTCAGAAAAGATGCATGATATGATTTCAATCTTCTTAAATTTATTGAGACATGCCTTGTGGCCTAATGTGTGATCTATCCTGGAGAATGTTCCATAGGCTCTTGAAAGGAATGCATAGTGTTGT